TGCCAACCCACGGACAACATCTCAAACATCAATAATTCACACCAAGCTCACGGACGACGAAAAACCAAAACGGACAACATAAGCCCGCGGACAACAACTAAGATCATCACCCCAAGCCCAAAGCCCCCCGCCGGACCTTCCAAAAACTGACCCCGGCAAGCTTCAACGGACACAAGCCGAATCTCACGGACGAGGTTAGCCCAAGCCCAGGCGTGCCGCGTGCCCCCGCAAGCCGGGCAGACCCCGCAAGCACCCCAACCACCCAGACTGGAAGATCGGGCCTTCCACACGATTCATTCTGACATGAAGTCCCTTGAAACATGCAGATCTCGTCAAAAATTGCCGTGGCTTGGGTTTCCATATGGGAAGCCCCCCCCCCCCCTCTGAGTGATTGCTTGAGCACTCACAAAACGCCAAAATGGAAAGATCCTTCCGAAAAGAAGTGGGAAAGAAACATGTAAACTGGACAGAACCGCTCTAAACAAATGCAAAGATCCTCCCAGCAAACTTAAGCAAAGCCCCGCGCACCCCTCGCACCCTGTGCACCCCGCGCGCCACATTGTCTCGAGTAGTCTTCCACCACGCGCCCCCTTTCTCCCCGCTTTTGGGTGCCTGATTCTCGCCATCCTTGCAACAATCAAACCAACACAAAGCCGCTTAAACTATCTGCAACAATCAACCCAAGAATCAAGCCAACAAATTTGTTCCATCTGGCCCGGAAAATCCCAGGCTGTCCGAGCCGTTGGCCAAAAGCTGAGCCAGGCGCACAAAAGGCGAAGCGGGTACGGGCAAAAGAGCTGCGCTAGGAGAGCTTTAGCGGCCGCAGGAAGCGCGGGCTTGATCTGAAGGTGTGATATACATGGCGTGACTATTGGGAGACCACCAACAAAAATGACTTTCACCACGTCGGAAAAGGTAGTCATGGTCATTTTGGGGCTAGGGATGTTGATCAACTCCCGTATCGATCCCATTTCATGACCGTTTTGCGAGGAGTCTTCCGCTTTGAGGGGGAAACACACCCTCCAGGGTCGCCCCTGGCCGAGAGTGGTCCCCAGTTTTGCCCGGGAACAGGTGTCTGGCCACAACATACTCCGAAAGGCAGGCCTTCAGCAACCATCAAGTAGCTGGCACTTCTCTGGCCAAGGCATCTTCGCCAAGGACACCTCCACAAGCCATAATTGCGTAGTGCAAAGCACTGCGTAGCGTGGTTTGCGTGTGTGCAACACAAAGGAACTCCTTTCACACCTTAGCTTGAGAATCCCCTCGCCTGAATTTCAAATCGGATGGGACGCAATCCCGCATGCAAATAAGACGACAAATCTCAGATCCCGCCGCAAGCTGGTCCCTGATCCCACGTGAGTCGCAATCAAAACCTGGTACTAAAATGGTCTACCCAGAACCATGTACAGGATTAAGAAGGCGGCCGCAGCTAGTTATGGCTGGGATCGTCCCTCACTAACCTTCATCTGCCAAAGGGTTTTGATTGTGGCTCAGTTTAAAAAAAAAATGGGGGGGGGGGTGTCCTTCCTGGGTTGAGTGGGGAATCTTCCTTATCTCCTGACTCTTTGCGCTCACCGCAAATGAACCTCGCTTAGCCAAAAATGCAACCGACCACTCTTCGCCAGGGGGCCGGTCTTAGTTTGCGCACACAAATCACAAATGCCTTTCACTAAAGAAAGCACTTGCGCACTGTGGGAGAAGGCGGTTTACACCATTTCGTCTTATCTGCTCATGAATAGTCTATTCTCAAAGTCACCTCACCCCTGTCCGTGGATCATCTCGGCATGTAGCTTATATGTTAAGCCAGGAATTCGTCAAGCCTCCACAGAACTTGCTTTCGTAGATGTGCAAAGAGATTGTGATGTTTGAGTGGGGCATACTGTTAGTGCAGTATCTGCCCAACGAAACCCAAAAACCAAGCCCATGGTTGGTCCCTGAAGTCGCCCGCCTTTGGGTGGCCCTGGAGCGCCCCACTTTGCGGGAAGCTCAAGCTGGACACGGCCAGCCACCCGTTTCAGGAAGGACGCCCAACGGCATTGCAAGTGAGAAGGAATGATTTTGAACCCTTCCTGTAGCCCGCTCTTGGCGCCATCTTGTGCCTGTTGCGACTCAGTCGGCGTTCCGTGGCCATCCAACAAGGTTGGGATCACCAACGTCTTCCAAGACCTTCGCCTTTGGCCGGGGGCCCCGGCCCCGGCGCACTGTCGGCCCTGTCAGCCCTGTCGGCCCTGCGCTCAATAAAGCTGGCCGGATCCCTTTAAGTGTCCAGTGGGTAGCATTCCAGAAGGAGACCAAGGGTGTGGAAGTCCGATCTTAGGAACAAGCGGACAAGGGGCGTAAGCAGGTACGACTTCTCTAGCCAGGTCGCATTCTTTAGCCTCCATTTGCTTAAGCCCTCTGGAAAAAAAAGAAGAAAAAGATCCGGTAGTGATAGATTCCCTTTGAAACCAACAGGGGAATAATAATAATAATAATAATAATAATAATAATAATAATAATAATAATAATAATAATAATAATAATAATAATATAATAATAATAATAATAATAATAATAATAATAATAATAATAATAATAATAATAATAATAATAATAATAATAATAATAATAATAATAATAATAATAATAATAAATAAATAATAATAATAATAATAACAACAACAACTTGAGCAAATGGAAGTTGGTTGTTTGACAATATCTCCGTCAAACCTCCTATCTGCTAGTCGCTGGTCTCTCCATACTCAGCCTCGAACCCATCAAACATCCAGATCGGAATCGTAGCGGTTCAAGCGATGCGAGGATCTCCCGGCGAGTTGGAATGCACATCCAACTTGGATCGGCACCTTGGTCTGGCAGAACTGGGATTTCCTCCACAGGGCCGTGGGGAATGGAATCCACGAATCTGTGAAACAGAAAGGGCCTAACCCCAAAGACGATTTTCTTCATAAGGGGGGATTCCCTTCTTGTATCACAGTGGGGAGAAAGCCCTGGATCCCACTGCTTCTCCAGGTGTCATTTCTGTACCGAAGACAATGCCAGGTTCGGTTCGGTTCGGATGTTCGGTCGGAAGCCACTAAAAACAAGACTGGTATCATACTGCAAGATGCGGGTGTTGCGGGAAGAGCAGCCCCCATACTGCAAGATTTGGGCATTCACCAAACATTAGTCCTTCCGGGGCCACCAAAGAGAGGACTTGTACCGCTTGGGTTCTCGTCAACAGAAACAAGCTGCTGGCTATCCCTTTTCGGATGACCCGCAAAATGGTTGGCTTGCAGCTTCCCTTTGCAACCAAGAAAGGAGTGGCTGTGGCTGAAAACAATAATTGGATGGAACCCTGCACAGCAAATGGAAACAAGGACTAAGACCTACAGTCCCCTGCTGGTTTAATTTTGACCCATGCCCAAGTTGCAACAAAAAAAGACACAAACTCCCAGCAGACAACTAGACCTGCGGTCCCCTGGGGGTTTTAATCTTGACCCATCAAGTTGCAACCAAAACAAAACTAAACACACACCCAATCCCGCCAGCTCAACCACTCCCACCTTGCCTCGGCTCGCTACAAGCGGAAGCCACCTGCGTATGATGTCCGGTCGAAGCCCCCTTTTGACGGCTTCGGAGAAAAACGCAGCGACCTCAAGGACTTAAACGTCATGTGAACTCTGCCCTTCACAAGAATCGTGCCCCTGGAGTGAACTAGATCTAGAGGTGATTCATTTAGATTTGCGTGATTTTCCAGCTCTTGACCAGTTCGGGCACCTGGGAGAAGGGAGGCACTTCCCTTGTTTCCGCTTCGGCCAAGGAGACGCAGCTACCAGGGCATCCTCAAGCCCTCAAGCGGGCGAAGACCCGATCACGTCGTGGCTCGGGCAAGTAACACGCGCCCTGTGGCAAAGTGTTAGCCATGTGCGGAGCCTTTGCCCTTTCATTTGGCTGGTCTCTTTATGTGGCCATGGGTCAAAAGCCAAATCGTATCCCCAGTGAACATCCCAGGAACTCGAGGGACCCCAACCAGCACAACCACCACAACCACAACATTTCAGCCTGCAAGTTTCCGGACCGCCCCGAATTTTCGGAGTTGGGCTCGCACCAAGCCTCGAGCAAGCCGCTCCCACTCGCACTCCCCCCGACAGCCCGCCTGCTGAGCTCGCAGGTGAAAACGAAAGCCTCGGATCCGGTTCCAGTCCGCTCGCGAGGCGCGCCGCCAACCGAAGACCAAAACCCGGCGCCTCGTTTTCCAGGAAACTGATGTGGCATCTCCGAATTTTGCGTGGCTGGCGCAAGACATCGAGACAGCCAATGCTGACCTGCCCTAGAAAAACTACTGCTCGTGCAAAACCAAGTCGAGGTTTTAGTGAGACACAGTTCCACAGGTTGAAGCCCGAAGATCCAACCAAACAGCAGCAGCCGAACGCGCGAACTTCCCCTACAGTACCGTCTTACACCATCCTGCGTGCACAGCATTTTCCAGCGCAACGAAGTCCGAAAACCACGCCCAATGGCATAAACGTTGCGGAAACGAAGCAAGCTCAAGGCAAAAGCGGCTTTGAGGCCAAACCTATGTCTGGCAATGCTCAACAGTCTGGGTGTTGAGATGTACGGTTATAATCATTTCAGTGTGCGGGGAAAACCAACAAACACGCGCACACATGTCACACTATGTCAGAACGCCTCCATGGCCCTCTTCGATAAAAAGGGCGCGAACAGTCCCGCCAAGCCAAGGGGCGATGTTGCTGACATCCTCACAAACTGTCACTAAGATTGTTGAAGTCACAGGCGCCGATTGGATTCCCCTTAGAGGAACTGGCTGTCGCAGATTCCATGCTGGCACTGCGCTTTCGTTAGACAGGGATCCTTACATTATACACCTGAACATTGCAACTTGCAAATGGTAGTTTCCAACTTTATTTTGGTGTTGAAAAAGCAACATGGTTCAAATTGTTGCAAAATGTAGATCTTTTAAGGAGCCCTGTTAGACTGGATGGCCTATGGGAAAATCGGTCTCAGATTGAGAAGGCATCATAGGCATCGAGGGCTGGGATGGAGCCAACGGAGCCCACGTGGTGCATCTTCACGTCCTTCGCCTCACACGGCTCCGCGCTGGGGAAGGTGAGGTACCTCGGTTGCTTCAAACCTCCCCTGCAAAAAGTGAATATAACATATAACTATATAACTTCTGGTGGTTTAATTCAAAAAACCCTTGAGTTGGCAAGGGAAAGTCCTACCCTCACGCCCACGTTGCTATGGCACCTGACAGGTCACTCCAAGAAGAAAATGATCTTCCAGGTACCCTCCCTCAGGTGCGATGTTCGCGGAAGGGAGGGTAACATCCCTTGGCAACATGCAACAAAGCTACCACAACTCAAGTGGATCTGCTATTCTTAAAGTCCCTACCCAAGCAAAATTTAACCAAGAAAAGGTTCTTAACATGGAGATGAAGGTTGGGGAGAAATTCCTTGTGACCATTTGAGTCACAATCAAAACCTGGTACAAAAATGGTCGGCCCAGAACCATGTAAAGAACTAAGAAGGCGGAATTCCGCAGCTATTTGTGCCTGGGATCGTCCCTCACTAACCTTCATCTGCCAAAGGGTTTTGAGGACGTGGCTCAGTCCCTACAACCCAGGCAAAACTCAACCAAGAAAAGAATTTACATGGAGATGAAGGTTGGGGAGAAATTCCTTGTGGCTCATTTACCCAGGACCTTCCCTCAACCTCGGACTCGAGGTGCCACAGGAGCCCCGCCAGCAGCGCCTCGCAGAGCACTGCCGCCAAGGGCAGCAGGCCGCCGGTGAAGCTGAAGCTCATCTCCACCGGCACAAACCACACGAGGAGCAACGCCAGGGTCAAAGGCACCAGGAGGACGGTGGACACCAGCTGGGACCACCGCCTGGAAAAAGTTCTTGGATAATCTTGTTTTTTCACTTTTTTCTTATGTTGTTTATTTAAATAATAATAAAAAAAATAATAATAAAACTTTTGGCCCACCCGCGGGGAAAACGATCCACAAGCTGGGACCACCGCCTCTCAGTTGGACCAAATCCTTTTTAAGCTCTTTGGCCCACCCGTGGGGAAAACGACTCAGAGTTTTTCAGGGACAAATGCATGAACAAATATATTTGGCCCATACGCCGGGGGAAAACCGATCTTATGGTGACTATGACCCGCCCCTGTTTTTTTTGTGGTTGTTGGTTCCTGTGTCATGGCTCTTAACACTGCTCTTCTGTTTTTGCTGCCTTAGGTGAGGGTTGTCTTCCGGCCTCATCAGTACCGCGCCAAGCTTGAACATGGCCATGTAAGTGCAGAAGGTCAAAACGTTCAGCGCTGGGTACTTGGCAGCCTTCAGAAACTGCCGCACCAGCCAAATCCATAATTCGCCTTCCAAAGAATCCGGCCCATGTGCCGTCTCCAACATGCATAGAGTAAAATACGGCATACTGGCCACAAACATCATGGTGAGGGAGTAGCTGATGTACCAACCACTTGTCACGGACCTCATGACCTTGCCAAACAAACGCTTCTGCACCAAGGTATCGAAAGTGTCCAAGTAGTCGACGCTGGGGTCCTCCAAACCGGCAAACGCAGTCCCTGTTTCTCTCCGCGACTTGGGGAAAACAAGTGCAATTCAACTGCCCCTAGTCCTCCTCGTTGCCAAACCACTCCCTGAGGGTCTGGTACACTAGCAGCCGGTCGCAGGGAAGGGCCTGCTTGGTCTCAGGGTTCAAGTGCCCGTTGGAGCAGCAAAAGCATTGGGCCGAACGAATGCTGAAGGCCTTGAGCTGCCTTGGTAGCTCTTCCACCTAGCCCGGGTGTATCGGCTGAGGCAGGTGGCTTCGAAAGGGCAATAGGTTTCGGGACGGCTGAATGCGTACTAGAAAGTCTTTGGAAGAACCAAATCTAATCAAATCTAATCCCTCGAACCTGCTAGCCACCAGCCACATGACGGTTGCCGCGTTTTTGGGGTCTGAGCCCCGGCCCCGACGCAATTCTCGAGGACCCGGGCCCCGCTTGTCCCGGCCTCCTTCATGAGGTCGATGCCGATGTACAAAATGAAGGGCTGTGCCAGCAAGGCTTCAAGAGTGATCACTGCTAACCTGGGCCCATTGTCTGATCCCACAGAAACCCGACCACACCAACTAAAGCACTAAAAATGTAAGGAACCGGAGAGCTGTGAGCCACCCAGTAACAGAAACACCCAGAGTCCCCGGGAGCTCTGGGCCTGGGAGGCCATGTAGGACAAGAACCGGAAGCCCAAGCTCTGCGCATGGGCGTGGATGGCCAAGATCACCAGCAGAAACGCCATCTTCACAGGCATAATTTCCTGAGTGGCAGAGTTCTCCAAACAACCGCAGCACAGACGCCTGGACCCTCTGATTGCAAGAGTGGTTTTGGATGGTTGTAGCTCAGGAGGGTTGATTGATGGGTTTTGAGGTTTTGGGGTTTTGAGGTTTTGAGGTTTGATTTGATGGCATGAAGACCGGGGATGTGTGCTGCTCTGGCTGGTAAGTCTTGACCAGCTCTCCAAGCCTTCCTGGTCCGTGTCCAATGATTCTGATGTGTGGGCAGGTGCGATTTCACTGTTGCAGTGGCGTGGTGTTGCATTTGCATCTTTGCTGTTGCTGCTGCAGGCCCGAACTGTGTGCAATTCAACCCAAATGTTGCTGTGTCCAGCAAATTGGTCGCACTTGTGGCATCAGTTGGAGTTACTTGGGCCGTCATGTTTCTTCCTTGGTTTATTTTCTGGGGGGGGGAGTTGTGCCCGTGGTCATCATGGGTTGTTGTTGTTCTCGTTGTCATTGCCGTTATTGACGTCATCGTAGTCGTGCTCATCGCGGCTGCCGTGGGTTTTGCCGGCGACTTGGTGGCGTTGTTGGTGTTGCTGTGGTCGTTGTGGATGATGTTGTTGCTGCTGTTGCTGTTGCTGTTGCTGTCGTCGTTGTTCTTATTGCGGCTGTTGCTGCTGTTGCCGTTGGTGTTGGTTGTGCATTGGCGTCAGCGTTGGCAGTGTTGTTGCAGTTCCTGCCGTTGCTGTTGCTTTTGTTCTTATTCTTGTTGGCATGCGGTTGATACGCCGCCCCGAGCAGGTGCGTCACTTTTGATGTCACACTCTTAGCAATTTCAATCGCCTGCCACGCGAGCCCAGAATCGCGGTTCCGTGTTTGGTTCACGAACGCATCTCTTTCGCACGTCCCGCGTCACTTTTGACGTGACCCTATTAGCAATCCCCCACGTGTCGCTCCAATGCACCCATGCCTGGCACATGGTGGGCACACCCGCCCGCGCGTGTCGCTCAAACGCACGCATGCCTGGCCCATGGTGGGCACACCCGTTTCCGCGCACGTCGCTCAGCTCAGTTGACCTGCACGCATGGCCTCAGCACTGCACACATGCCGGCCAAATAGTATGAACACCCGCTCACGTGCACTGTAGGTTTGTGGAAAGATGCCCTCCCGCCACGATGAAAGTGCACAAGCCCCATTCCTGTTGCAAGTCGCCTTTTGGATTGAGATATCTTGAAGCATTGTTGAAGCCGTGTTCATACCCTTTGGTGCTGTTGAAAAGGACTTTGCGCCCAGGCCCTTTCTGAAACGGTCGTTTCGCTGGGGCGAACATGCGATGGGATAGCATTTCAGGGGCCCGCCAGCCTTTTCACAGTCTTAGAGAGATGTTGAAAACGCAAAAAAGCAGGGTGGTTGCATGACCATACTGAAATCACAAGATTTCAGCCGACAAAGCTCGTGGGGGCGGCGGGACAACTGTTCACCTTGTTGTTGCTGTTGCCGTTGCTGTTGTCGCTGCTTCTCTGCCCATTTCTGGCTATACCCTGACGAAAGCACAGCCTAGACCCTCCACAAGACTGGCTGTCGAACCCTGGATCAGAGCGGGATTTCCTTTGTGACCTGCGCAGCCAAAGCCTCAAGCCTTAAAGCGAATGAGAAGATCGGGCCCTCCAGAAGCGCACCGGACTGCCCAAGCGCTGTCACCCCCCCATCACCCCGTCTTCCTTCTAAGCGTCGATCGGCTTGAGCTTCGGACCACTTCTGCTCGCATCACGGAGAAAGGTCGCTATTTCGAAAGAACACCAGAGCCTCGCGTCTCCAAACCCTCGCGAGGCAAGTGACAACAAACTATATCCAACTGGGAAACTGCAGGGAAAGCGGCAGCAAGCCAATCGTAACCAAAGCGACACCCAAAGGACACCAAGCAGAAAAACTGAGGCGTTGGACTGAGCCTTGTAAAGTACCGCGGCGACCAAAGGATGGTGAGCTTATTCGAACTCCGCACGAAGGCAGCCAAACCCAGAATGCCCCTTTCCTGCGAACAAAGTCAACGCCATCTTTTTAGGCAAACGGGATAACGGGATGTCACAAACAGGCACGGGCTGCTTCAAAGGACCACTGACAGCTTGTCTCTGTACTGCCACCCCAATCCTTCAAGTTATCGTCGTGCTGGGCAATGCAAATCTTGTCCATAAACACCATGGTCGGCTGGGTCACAAAGCTCCGGAGACGCTGCCAAAAGCAGAACACCAGCAGCCAGGTGATGTGCCCGGGAAGCGTGAGCCAGACCCATGACTCTTGCGGAAGCTGCAAAAAGATCGCCACCAGGCCCACAGAGATACTCACCTGCGCGAGCTTTTATTGGGCACCTAAGAAGTTTCTGTTCCCAACCACTCAGCACATTCAGCACACATGACCGACGCCACGAGTCAGATGGGCCCGCACTGCTTCCTACGGCACAATCAATGGGTCCCGGAAAACAAGTGAGCCACTTCTATTGCTTTCTCACCCCCCTGCAAGAAATGAGCACATACTTCCAGTAGTGAAGCCGATTCCCTGTAAAACAAACAAGGGAAGACGACAAACACCTTACATTCACTTCAGCGACTGGAAGGCCATCGGAGTTGCCAAAACACACAAGCGACCAAACTGCCCCCAAAATGCCCCGAAACCGGCCAGGAAGGTGGCCACCGCAGCGGGCTTGCTGTTGAAGATAATCAAGAGGGACAGAAGCTTCAGCCAGCGGGAAGTCGCCCAGTCATGGCTCAGGAAGTTCTCCAAGCTCTCCACCGGCCTATGCAAGCGAGAGAGAGCAATCGGGAGCTTTCGAAACAAATAACTAAGGACTACACAGGCCCTGAAAACCCCATAGTGTCCCGTCGGAATGAGCGATCGCCTGCTGAGCTGGTAGCTGGAGGGGCTCAGGTTGAACATGCCGTTGAGGGACACCCAATGCTTTGCCCAGCCGCTTAGGGCCACGTGAAGCGGCACGCCCCGCATAAGATCCATGGATAACTGTGTCACTAGCTTCGGCGCCGGCGCAGGAGCAATCTCCATGACCCTGTTTGGGTCCGGGCCCGAGAATCGACACCCCTTGATCCATCTGCGAGAAATTCGGCCGATGCCGAAGAAAATCAGCAAGCGCGCTTCTCTAGCGCATGAAGTAAGCCATGAAGCAAGACCGACACAAACAATCATACCGTCTTTCACATCTGGCTCCCCCCCCCGGAGCTATCCAACAAAATCGCTGTCAGGAACACTCATGCTGATTTGCCGGGCCAATGCACCCAGACCCCAGTTGCAGGCGCATTTTTCCCCCGTGCAAAGCGCAAAGCGCACCCAAAGCGCAGCCAAGGCTCTGCACAAAGCCTCCTGGGCCTGGCACGGAGCACTGGCCGGGTTCAGGGAGCAGCTCCGAATGCAAAGGAAACGCCCACTGAGCTGATCCAACCTTTCTCCCTCTGGGGGGTGACCACTGAACTGACCCAACATTTCTCCCTCTGGGGGTGACCACTGAACTGACCCAACATGTCTCTTTTTGGGGAGGTGACCACTGAAGTGACTCAACATTTCTCCCTCTGAGAGGTGACCACTTAACTGACCCAACATTTCTCCCTCTGGGGGTGACCACTGAACTGACCCAACCTTTCTCCCTCTGGGGGGTGACCACTGAACTGACCCAACATTTCTCCCTCTGGGGGCGACCACTGAACTGACCCAACATGTCTCTTTTTGGGGCGGTGACCACTGAAGTGACCCAACATTTCTTCCTCTGAGAGGTGACCACTGAACTGAACTGACAGAACATTTCTCCCTCTCAAGGGTGACCACTGAACTGACCCAACCTTTCTCCCTCTGGGGGGTGACCACTGAACTGACCCAACATTTCTCTCTCTGGGGGTGACCACTGAACTGACCCAACATGTCTCTTTTTGGGGCGGTACTGAAGTGACCCAACATTTCTCCCTCTGGGGAAGTGACCACTGAACTGACCCAATATGTCTCTTTTTGGGGCGGTGACCACTGAAGTGACCCAACATTTCTCCCTCTGGAGGTGACCACTTAACTGACCCAACATGTCTCTTTTTGGGGGGTGACCACTGAACTGACCCAACATTTCTCCCTCTGGGGGTGACCACTGAACTGACCCAACATGTCTCTTTTTGGGGCGGTGACCACTGAAGTGACCCAACATTTCTCCCTCTGAGAGGTGACCACTGAACTGAACTGACAGAACATTTCTCCCTCTCAAGGGTGACCACTGAACTGACCCAACATTTCTCCCTCTGGGGAAGTGACCACTGAACTGATTCAAAATGTCTCTTTTTGGGGGGTGACCACTGAACTGACCCAACATTTCTCCCTCTGGGGGGTGACCACTGAACTGACCCAACATTTCTCCCTCTGGGGAAGTGACCACTGAACTGATCCAACATTTCTCCCTCTGGGGGGTGACCACTGAACTGACCCAACATTTCTCCCTCTGGGGGGTGACCACTGAACTGACCCAACATTTCTCCCTCTGGGGGTGACCACTGAACTGACCCAACATGTCTCTTTTCGGGGCGGTGACCACTGAAGTGACCCAACATTTCTCCCTCTGAGAGGTGACCACTGAACTGAACTGACAGAACATTTCTCCCTCTCAAGGGTGACCACTGAACTGATCCAACATTTCTCCCTCTGGGGGGTGACCACTGAACTGACCCAACTTTTCTCCCTCTGGGGGGTGACCACTGAACTGACCCAACTTTTCTCCCTCTGGGGGGTGACCACTGAACTGACCCAACATTTCTCCTCTGGGGGGTGACCACTGAACTGACCCAACATTTTCTCCCTCTGGGGGGTGACCACTGAACTGACCCAACTTTTCTCCCTCTGGGGGGTGACCACTGAACTGACCCAACTTTCTCCCTCTGGGGGGACCCAACTGACCACTGAACTGACCCAACATTTCTCCCTCTGGGGGTGACCACTGAACTGACCCAACATGTCTCTTTTCGGGGCGGTGACCACTGAAGTGACCCAACATTTCTCCCTCTGAGAGGTGACCACTGAACTGAACTGACAGAACATTTCTCCCTCTCAAGGGTGACCACTGAACTGATCCAACATTTCTCCCTCTGGGGGGTGACCACTGAACTGACCCAACTTTTCTCCCTCTGGGGGGTGACCACTGAACTGACCCAACATTTCTCCCTCTGGGGGGTGACCACTGAACTGACCCAACTTTCTCCCTCTGGGGGGTGACCACTGAACTGACCCAACTTTTCTCCCTCTGGGGGGTGACCACTGAACTGACCCAACATTTCTCCCTCTGGGGGGTGACCACTGAACTGACCCAACATTTCTCCCTCTGGGGGGTGACCACTGAACTGATCCAACATGTCTTTCTCTGGACGAGAAAATGCCAAAGCTGGGATCAGGATCCAAAAGAGGATGAATCCATCGGGAGTAGGCAGCTGGACTCTCGCAGCTGAGTTCTTCATGGGCTTGTAGTCCAGCACTTCAGTCGCTGGTGCGATAGGCAGGCAATGACCGTTCCGGTTGTTGGGAATGAACCGGTTCGAACCGGGGATTCCCTTAAAGGAAACCGTAGATGGTTTTATAGGGGCCCTTCTGAGAACCGGCAAGTTCAGTGGGAGGCGCTTCTCTTTCGCGAAAAGCGGTAACCCTGGAGGCTCAAGTCGCGAACTTAAATGCACAAACCTGCAACGAAACAAAAACCTTCAAGGAGCCACATGTTCTTGTGAGAAAGGTGCTATCTAGCTCTTAAGGCACAGGTTGCGCAGCTTCAACGGGCCGAATCTGACTTCGCGCTCTCTGCCCCTCCCTCAAGGGACAACTCCGGCGCACCTGACTGGTATCCTTGGGCCTTCGCGCCAGGGTGAGCGTGTCCTTGTCGTTGAGCTGTGCCTCTGCGTCCTGCAGGACACTCCTGACACTCCTTTCAAGGGGGGCAATAAAAATAAATGGCCCACAATAGGGTAACCCCACAATGGCTTGCCCTGAAACATGGAAGCATGGACGGTTGCCCATACCACTGAAAAATGAACGGCACGAGCGCGAAATGGATGGCAAAATTGAGAGCCCTTCGGAAACCCCAAATGGATCCCAAAAAGGGTCTTGCCCGCTTCGCGGTTCGTTTGATAGCTGACACCATATGAACGGTCTGGAGCAAGAAAGGAACAGGCGCAACCAAAAATGCGCCGTACATGGTCAAAATATCAGCCTCCCTCCATTTCCGGTGGTTTGGTCAAACCAGGCCCCACCCCACCAACTCAGGGACACCATGCTTCAGGAAATACAGAGGCGGAGATCCGCAACGATTCATAGCTGGGAGTGTCGCTTGCTAACCTTCATCCACAAAAGGGTTTGGAGCCAGTGGCTCACCTGAAACTTCTGTGGATGGACGAAATCCTGCACCACTTCGAAACCAGAAAAAACCATTGTTTGTTGGTATTCAGGGGAATCGAATCATTCCAGGGTTTCTTGGTGCGAAATGGATTTCGCAACCATCAGTATGACTCCCCACAAAACGCCCTGCGCGTGTCCCGCGTGTCCCGCGTTTCAACCCGGGCTTTCCTTGGGCAAGTAGGTGCCGTTCAGGTAAACCCCGAAGGAGCCCAACACGGACATCCGGCAGCGGCCCTCCTCCCAGCCTCGGAAAGAGAAAATTTGGGCGGAAAAACGGGGGGAAAACGTTTTTGGTACAGAAAAACGGGGGGAGCCACGTGTTCGTCCCCTGGGTTCGGAAAATGGCTCCAAAAGAGCCCGCCGAAAGCAAATCTCATACAGCTGACTCCAATTCTGGGTTGCCAGTCGGACCCAAAAGTAGGAACAAAAGGGGAAAAGGCGGCTGGGTTGGAGCCTTTTGCGGCCGTTTCTGGTATCTGGCAAGTCTTGCAAGTCTTACATGCTGAGGGGGCTGGGCATGATTTTTGGTTGCGGCAGGGCTAAATTGAATTGACGGTTGCCAAGCCAATTGATCTGAAGTTCCCACCAATTTTCGGAACTCAGTAGATTTATATTCCCGGTTGATGAACAGAGTGGACGCAGCCCTTTTTGAGGGCAAGCGGCTCACATTTTGGGGGAACGCCCCCAATGAGTAACCCAAAAAAGGCCATCAACGGTCGGGAGAAAGTGCTACTCGCTGAGCACCAGCCCAATTGGAAGTCCGACTCATGCCATCACGTAGCTGAAAGTGGCCGGCATGGAATTGCGGTTGATAGAAGGCGCCAAACTGACCCTGAAGATATTGAGCACTCATCGCATTCTATCTGTCAAGCCATCCGCATTCCAGTCCACCACGCCTTGACAGAATGGCGCGAGGCGCGCTTTCTGGGGCGCCCAGCAAAAAAGCAAATGCTTCCCCGAGATCTTGCCGTGCGACACCTGGCTCGTCGGTCTGGAGCGTGCGCAACTGCCAATAGGTCTCCTTTTGCAAGGAAAACTGGAAAAACTGGGGCAACCCACGCCCGAGCAACAGACAGAGGGATATTCCTGTTCTTGCGTGAGGTCTTGTGTTCTCAATGCTTCAAATGCCGAAAAGTTGAAAGCAGGTCGCTCGAACAACTTTGGCGGAGACGCCATTTAGCTGCCAATGCTCCGTCAAATTCCCCATGTTCCGGCAACACCGCGAATACCTTTATATATAGATATGTATAAAGACTCATGCTTCGCCTTTGTTCTGCGCAGCAAGACCAATTTTGTCTAAATTGAAACAGTTAAACTCAACACGAACCCACACCATCCAAAAGAAGGACATACCTCATGTCCTGAGTACTTCCAGGACTTCCCTGCCACACCAGGGTAAGCCCGAGCCTCAATCACGAAAAAGGACGGATCTAGACCCCCTGCCACACCAAGGGAAAAGAACCTCAGCGTCCTTTGCCCTGCTGTTAAAACGCCCCTTTTTTGCACCTTCATTGCTCTATTCTTCGGCACTTCAGGGCGGGATGGGTGGGAAACTCAAGCCGAAAGGAAGCTAGCATTCGTCTTAACCTCCG